CAGAAACATACTGCATGTCACATTTTGTACGGTCAGGAAACGGTCCGAAAACGCGTCAAAAACGCACTGCACTGCAGCTAACATACTGCCCCACTCCAGCAAAAAAAAAAAAAAAGTGTTTTTTTTTAAAACCTGGAACGCATCAAAAACGTGGCCAAAACGCACTGCATCAGTAGCACCGCGTCTGCAGATCCGCACCTAATATCATGTGAACAGGCCCTAAGTCTGATCATCCCCTCCCAATGGAATAGTCCAGAAAAAAAACATCACTTTTTTTCCAGGTCCAGTCATGTGACATGACAGGTTCTCTTCATCCTGATGGGAGGATACTGAATGCTGCATAGAAGAGACATAGTGCTGCTCTCTATAGCATTTTCTCATGTGCCCGAGGGGGGGGGGATTGGTCTGGGTGTATCCATGACACCCTGGGCTCACAGGAAGTGGTTTGAACGACGCTTGGTGTCATTCAACCTGGAAGATCACTAACAATAACAGCCGGAGCTGCTCTTTAATGTTTATGGGGTGCAGCAGGATCCATTTTTTTTTTACCAAAGTGGAATTGGACTGTTAGGATCCATTCAGGCCTCGATCTCCCCGTGCATTGCATTAACAAATGTCCTTTTATTTTTCAATTGAAAGGGCTGACAACCCACTAATACGTAAAATCACAATGCGCGGTAGTGTGTTACTGTTCGTTGCGGTGCGCTGACACACGTGTGCGCTGGAGCGGTGTTGCTGCATTGGGGGTGCCATTGAAAATGAATCACTGCAACACACTAATGCGTGCAACGCATTACTGCAATGCAACGCAGCAGACAAGTATGTTTCGGCACAACACATGGCATGTTGGAGATGCGGTTCCTGTGGAAGATCCACACGCAACATACTGCCTATATGACCAGTACACATTCTCTGCACATTGGACCCCCTGTCATTGGACATAATCACCTGGCAAAGCATTGTAGCCTAAATGGGGTTCTGTCATTGGCCAAAAGAAGTCATTCTGGTTACATTGAGACAAAATATCCCCGGTCATGGAAGGGTTACTATACCAATGTCCATTGTCACACACAGTATCAC